ACATGGAAGACGATGGACGCAACAACATGGCGAACATTTTTTCCGGCGTTTCTTTTCAGCATTTGCCATATGTTTGTCTCGAAGCGCTGGTAGGGCCCAAAAGATAAGAAGGAGACATGTAAAGTGCCCCAAAAGGGCTACCTTTTCTTTTTTATTTTTTACTACATTTTGACGTTCATAAGTGCCACTTTATTAAGCCACGTGCCCTAAGCAGCTTTGTCGGCCGTTTGGTGTAGTGGTTCAGAACGGACTACTATGCCGAGAGGTCCCGGGTTCGATTCCCGGCCGGGCAGAAATTGAAATGATGAATTTTAATTTCTGTGACGGGTCTGGGTGTTAATATGTATAATATGTATGTATTTAATTTTAAAAAAAGTATATAAGTAGTATATCCGTTAAGCTAGCACCCATAACACAAGCATTGAGTTGCTTACTTTGGGGCTAGCTGGCGCTGTGTGAAATTGTCCAAAGATTTATTTAAAGATTTACTTGTGGTCTCTAAACTGAATAAATATTTTTGTATGATATTGTGTTTGATTGATTGATTGAACAACGTTGCAAGAACGCCGAAGTCAACGCCAGCGACGGCGCCCATTACCGTGAACGACTTCACCGCCATGATGGTGTCCCTGCAACAGTCGCAAAGCAGAAAACTTTGAGCGCCTATTATCAAGCAAGAGTGCTCGCCCAGCCAACACAGATTAGCTGAATAAATTTTGCGTAAAAGCAATTCTTTTGACTTTAAACTGGATAAGTTTTTGTATAAGTTATACAAACACTTAGTTTAAATGATTTAAACTAAGTTTTCGGCGCTGGTTTCACCAAGAGCCCTGGAATGAAAAAAAAAATTATTACTGAATAAATCTTCGACTAGCCATACAATATTATGCCGCTAGTAAATTAAAAAACTATAAATAAGTTTATAAGTCTATCGCATACCTAAGACAATGCCTGATAAGTTGAGTGGGTCTGGATAAAATGCACATACTTAATCACAAACCAGTCAAAGTGGTCGAAAGGGCTTTTTTGTATGGAGTTTTAACGGATTCGTTCGATTCGATCAAAAAGTGCATTTTGTCTAGGGGGCAGAATGTAGTTATTTTATTACTTTTTCTGTTTTATTTATAATATTAGTTCATAAATTTTAAATCTGTAACGAAAAAAATACTAGTCAACATCTCTGAGAAGATTTAATTGTCGATGGTACAAAAAAGAATAAAAAAAACAAAAATAAGTGAGGGTACCTAAATTTTTCTCAGCAAATCGGTTACCACTAAACTTTCAGTTCATTTTGTGCGCGATCCGACTCGGTCCTATCCTTGATTTGGTCCTCTCCTATTTCCAAACCATACCGAATAATAATTATTGTGAATCAATCATCAAAAATGGACACATACACGTTTCTTTGTCTATCGTTTTCGTGGCTACTGTTTGTAGTTAGCGTGCATTATGTAACGTTCGAGCATTTAACTGAAGTTGGAAGACATACGATTGCTACCGTGGGTTTGGTAAGTTTCTTTTTATGTGAATTCAAATCAATCAAACATGCACACATACACATTTATTAGTACATAATATTATATCATTTGCGTGGCTAAGATTTGTATTTACCGCGTATTATTTATTATTCGATTATTTAACTGAAGTTGGAAGACATACGATTGCTACCGTGGGTTTGGTAAGTTATTTTTATGCGAATTCAAATCAATCAAACATGCACACATGCACATTTATTAATTAACGTTTGCGTGGCTACTATTTGTAGTTAGCGCGCATTATTTATTATTCGAGCATTTACCTAACTGAAATTGGAAGAAATGTGCTTGCTACCGTGGGTTTGGTATGTTTCTTTTTGTGTAAAATTTAGAAGTTTTTTACCGTGTGAATACAATACTGCTTCTTACCGTGGATTTCGTAAGCGACAAGGCCCGATTAAAATTTTTATCCGAGAATAACTCATGGTAACTGGCACATTGACAGTTTCAGTATGGGAAATATGTCAAAATGTCGAATAACTGACGAATCCTCAATCCACCTTATAGGACAAAAATGCGATAATCGGTCCTCCCAACCCGTCTGGCCAGGGTGGGGAGTGAGAGGGAATGCAATAAATGAGCCTTAAAATACATTATGGATAACCAACTGACCCAACAAACTTCGTAATATTCATTAGAAAAATGAATTCTAATGATGAAAGATTTTTTCAAATCGGTCCAGTAGTTTTAGAGTATTAAATACAAACAAAACAACCAAATATTTTCTCTTTGTAATACTATTTTAAATGTATTAAAACAAAAACCATTGTTTTGTTTCCATTAATGTAGATGTAATTCATACAAAAATGCAGGAATGTAGTGTAGGAANAAACTTACTCTTTACGCTCAAACAACGAAATGCGTTTCTAGAGTCGAAAAAGTTAAACAGACGCATTTTTTTATTAATATAGCCTCTTAAATTAACAAAAACAAATGTTCTGTTAACATGTCACACGAAACTTAGGTATACAACACCTATTTGGCCTCATTCATATCTGCTTAGGGCATTTGGCTTGGGCCAAATTCCGTGCCGCTGAGTGTATGAGCCTTGTAAGGAAGTTTCGGTTTCGGTTTCGGTTTCGGCCGAAATAGACACCGTTGCCGAAATTCGTTTTCGGTTTCGGTTTCGGTCGGACACTACTTTTCAGCATTTGCCATATGTTTGTCTCGAAGCGCTGGTAGGGCCCAAAAGATAAGAAGGAGACATGTAAAGTGCCCCAAAAGGGAGCTACCTTTTCTTTTTTCTTTTTTACTACATTTTGACGTTCATAAGTGCCACTTGTGGTCTCTAAACTGAATAAATATTTTTGTATGATATTGTGTTTGATTGATTGATTGAACAACGTTGCAAGAACGCCGAAGTCAACGCCAGCGACGACGCCCATTACCATGAATGACCTCACCGCCATGATGGTGTCCCTGCAACAGTAGCAAAGCAGAAAACTTTGAGCGCCTGTTATCAAGAGTGCTCGCCCAGCCAACACAGATTAGCTGAATAAATTTTGCGTAAAAGCAAATCTTTTGACTTTAAACTGGATAAGTTTTTGAATAACTTCTGTGTAAGCGCTTATACAGATGATATTCAAGCAATTTGGGCACAAAATACCTTGCTTCAATTTGGATAACATTTGATTAATAGCCACGTACCAGCTGAATAAATGTACACACTGAATACCCAAGTNAGTCTCGATTTCATAAAAAAGGAAGTGTATTTGTACGGCAAACAATTGGGAAATAAATTTTCTTGTTACTGGTATCATTCCCGTATTTAATTTTTGAAAGCCAAATTCAAGCAAAATACGCGTTGAATCGTAGTACTTACTTATGAAATGTAACACTGGTCACTTTCTTTAGTTTTTCTGATGTATTTAGACACCCATTCACAGCACAAACCGTCTTAATTAATTAAAAGTCGTCGGACGTGTTTACCAATTTTTCACTTTGACAGTTCATGTGACGTTTACGAGTAAGCCATTCTGGCTTACTAAAATCTGCCTCACCTTTCGTGCACTGACTATCTATCTAGGTTTTATTAATCTAAGATAATAACTTTCTCCCCGCTCCAATCAAGAGGCCCGAAAGATACCACGACTAGGGGGTGCGGTATTTCTATTGTATTTTATTGTTTTTAAATTGTATTGCTTTGTATTGTATTATATTGTATTGTTTGACTTATTGTCTTCAAAGTTACAAGTCAGTTGATTGTGAGCTTCGAAGCTAAATGATCGAAAATCAAAATATCGAATACGTTGTTTCATCGAACGATCAAAATATCGAATGCTCAAAATATCGAACGTTCAGAATATCGAATTTACAAATGATCGAACGATCAAAATATCGAAAGTCGATATAGACGTTTTATTAAATTTCATCACGCATCATTTCTGAACGAAGAGCGTCAAATAATTTTTGTTCTACCCACTAACAGAGTAATATTTTGTGTACATTGCAGTTTGTTAATAACTTTATAGCACCAGTTAATGTGTGCATAATAAAATAAATAGTAATTTGTCAACTATCTATTGCGCTTCTTTTAAATGGTCGATGTAAAAAATAAAAAACTGTCATAACTCATGAGTCATCATGACTATGCTATTTTGTGACGAAAAATAAATTGCAACGAAATGTTCAATCTTTTATTTTGATGGTAACAATTCAGTAACAGTCACGGACACAGATATTATAATTATGGTCTCCTGGATTTAAAAAACTTTTCGAAAAATATACCCTACACAAATAAAATTAATAAAAAATAGTTAACATTAAATTAAGTATTAAGATCAACTTAAATTAACCATTAATGTCATTCCATCACACATTTTAACTAAGTTTTCGGCGTTGGTTTCACCAAGAGCCCTGAGCCCCGATTACGGTAATTTTTAACGTGAACAATCCAGACACGCTTCTCGATTCTGCGATACGATTGGTCGTTCAACAGCGTACGTCAGCTGTTTTGACCAATCGTATCGCAGAATCAGAAACGCGTCTGGACTCTGGATTGTAGACGTTAAATGTTACCGTAATCGGGGCTCTGGAATGAAAAAAAAAATTATTACTGAACAACACAGCTTCGACTAGCCATACAATATTATGCCGCTAGTTAATTAAAAAACTATAAATAAGTCTATCGCATACCTAAGACAATGCCTGATAAATTGAGTGGGTCTGGATAAAATGCATAGATATAATCACAAACCAGTCAAAGTGGTCGAAAGGGCTTTTTTGTATGGAGTTTTAACGGATTCGTTCGATTCGATCAAAAAGTGCATTTTGTCTAGGGGGCAGAATGTAGGTATTTTATTACTTTTTCTGTTTTATTTATAATATTAGTTCATAAATTTTAAATCTGTAACGAAAAAAATACTAGTCAACATCTCTGAGAAGATTTAATTGTCGATGGTACAAAAAAGAATAAAAAAAACAAAAATAAGTGAGGGTACCTAAATTTTTCTCAGCAAATCGGTTACCACTAAACTTTCAGTTCATTTTGTGCGCGATCCGACTCGGTCCTATCCTTGATTTGGTCCTCTCCTATTTCCAAACCATACCGAATAATAATTATTGTGAATCAATCATCAAAAATGGACACATACACGTTTCTTTGTCTATCGTTTTCGTGGCTACTGTTTGTAGTTAGCGTGCATTATGTAACGTTCGAGCATTTAACTGAAGTTGGAAGACATACGATTGCTACCGTGGGTTTGGTAAGTTTCTTTTTATGTGAATTCAAATCAATCAAACATGCACACATACACATTTATTAGTACATAATATTATATCATTTGCGTGGCTAAGATTTGTATTTACCGCGCATTATTTATTATTCGATTATTTAACTGAAGTTGGAAGAAATGTGCTTGCTACCGTGGGTTTGGTACGTTTATTTTTATTTGAATTCAAATCAATCAAACATGCACACATACACATTTATTTATTACTAGCTGACCCCGCGAACTTCGTACCGCCTTAGCGTAGAGATTTTCTTTATATTTTTTTCCGTAAAAACCTTGTACAGAGTACTTATTAGAAAACTACAAAAAAAAATTCAGCCAAATCGGTCAAGTCGTTTTCATGTTATGTCGTGACAACGGAAAACGGGTTTCATTTTTATATATATAGAGTAATATCGTTTACGTGGCTACTATTTGTAGTTAGCGTGCATTATGTATCGTTCGAGCATTTAACTGAAATTGGAAGAAATGTGCTTGCTACCGTGGGTTTGGTATGTTTCTTTTTGTGTAAAATTTAGAAGTTTTTTACCGTGTGAATACAATACTGCTTCTTACCGTGGATTTCGTAAGCGACAAGGCCCGATTCAAATTTTTATCCGAGAATAACTCATGGTAACTGGCACATTGACAGTTTCAGTATGGAAAATATGTCAAAATGTCGAATAACTGACGATTTATTCTAAGATTTAAATTTACCCTTGTTTGGTCGAATCCTCAATCCACTATGGGACAATCATGCGATAATCAGTCCTCCTAACCCGTCTGGCCAGCGTGGGGAGTGAGAGGGAATGCAATGAATGAGCCCTAAAATACAATACCTATGGTTAACTAGCTGACCCAACAAACCTCGTACTGATATTCATCAGAAAAATGAATTCTAATGCTGAATACTAGATTTTTGCTAGATTTTTTCAAATCGGTCCAGTAGTTTTATAGTTTATTCAATTACAAATAAAACAACCAAATATTTTCTCTTCGTAATAATATTTTAGATGTATTACGAGTAAAACCAAAACCATCGTTTTGTTTCCATTAATGTAGATCAGATGTAATTCATACAAAAATGCAGGACTGTAGTTGTAGGTAGTGGATAAAAAAATTGAGGGTAAGTTCCTAGTTGTTCAGTTGGCCATTTCATTTCTCAACTTGTCAGTGACTATGGAGTTTTTTTTATTTCTTAGATAATCTCGTGAAATAACAGTGAAAATAAGTGAACAAGTAATTAAATAGACTATCTATGTAAGTAGCCTTCACTTATACATACACTTGTGAGCGGAAATGAATAATTTTGTATTCTTGTGCCGCTGATACAAATATTTACGAGTCTGCTGGAAAATCGGGCATTATTCAGTGAACAAGTAATTAAATAGATGAATTTAATGTCTTGAAATTTAAAGTGTGTTTTTGAGGTCAGAAATAAGTAATTTTTATTTAAATTTGGGTAGATTCATCATCATCATCGGTTTATGGAGTCAATTTGAGTCTCCACTGCAGGAGTAAGGCGAACTTAATGCATTCTACTCCAGTCAACCTTAGGGCCAAACTGAATAAAGTGGGCTGTACAAAATTATAGAATAAATTATGAAATAAAATAAGACCAAATAAATAATTGCGATTGCGAGTAAACTATGCGTTAGGAGGGAAAACTGTATTACTGTTGGAACGTGGCCAAAAACATTATTTTTTTATCAAAATCATCGATTTAATATAACTATCGATTGATGATCTAGTGAAGGTCGCGGAAGGCGCTTGGATGCGAGCGGCGCAGGACCGGTCTTTGTGGAAATCCTTGGGGGAGGCCTTTGTCCAGCAACGGACGTCTTTCGGCTGAAACGAACGAACGAACTATTAATGATCCCACACATCCCTACGGCTCTAATCGCTGACCATTCCACAGGGCATGCTCGCGTTGGGCACTGGACTTTACGTCATTCATGAGAGCCAGAGGCGCTTAGCTGAAGAACGGGCTCGCGAACGCGCTCGTGAACACGCTCGTGACGAACACGCTCGTGACGAACAAGCGCCCGCCGAGCACGCGCGAACTAAAGAAGAATAAAATATGAAAATGAAAATATTGCTGTTGGGACTGCACTGGTGAGTTTTGCATTATGAATTTTAGATTAAGAATTCAAATTTAATACAAAAACCAATCAAGTGCGAGTCGGACTCGCGCACTCTGCCTCATCCTTGGGGACTTTGGGAGACTGTCTATCAGCGGACGTCATTTGGCTGAAACGAACGAACGATTAAACATAGCTAGGTACATATTTCATACTCGTAACTGCATATACTGACATGCCCACTGCCCAGCGGCCTGGGCACATCACGATGTGGCCAATCCAAAGATCGGCCCACAACATAAATAACGGGTGTAAAAAAACCTAACCCAAAGCCGAAGGCTACTTATTCTCCACGTCATGAGGATCATTTTTTTCTTTGAGACCATACCTGGGAAACATGGTTTAGGAGATATTGAAGGTCAAAGTCAGAATATTATTTTCAAGATTTTTACAATATCATTTTCAATTCGTTATTTAGAAACTTTTTTTAAGAAACCTTATTAAATTTTTGAGTATTTTCGTCACAATAAGACTTTTGTCTTTACAATAAGAAATGTAGGTACCTACAGCAGCCGAATGTACTCGTAGATTGTTTGATAATTATGTGAAAGTAATTAATGCAAAGGACACCCTAATCAAGTGACACTATGTATGAAGGTGGAGATAGTTCTTACTAGCCCTAGAGTTGACACAAAATTTTATGACCTGTTGAATAAAAGCTATGTTATTCTACCTTCTTTCCCAGGTCCGACCTGTTCGTCTACAAAACACCTGGTGGAGGAGGCCTGCCGGCGGTCGCTGGAGGCCCTCTGACTGGACTATATCGACCTGATACACAACCCTACGTCTTTCAAGGTACCTACCTACTCCAGTTAAGTTTTTTTGCAGCTTAATCTTCATTCACATCATGTAAACAATATTAAAGTGTAAACGCATCAAAAATTAAGGATATTCGATCGTAAAAGATTCAAAGACAGTTGCAATCCGGATTTGGACAAGGATTGATTATGGGAAACTAATAAAATTGAATTTTTTTTTTTCAGAAATGGGCGAAACCACGCGAAACCCACAGCAGTATTTTTTTTAACTTTTTGACAAGGTCGTTTGGCCATGTTTTAATCAATTTATGTAGGTACCTATTGTATTCTTATAGTCTATCCAATATAGCTTGATTAGAATGACAGATGTCATCAAAAGGAACGACATAACTTTGTAGTAGCGTTCAATGAGAGCTAAATATTAGCGGACAAGAAATAATTCACGTCTGACCTACAAACAATATTTTCGACGACAGTGCTTCCAATAAAAATGATAATTTCGTGTAAATGCAGCGTTAAATTACACCAATAAGTAGTAATTCGAAATTATAAAAATCAAGCTAGAGTATTAACGACGTCTCTACAAGGTTATCTCGAGTTACAAAAATGTTAGTGTTGAGACATATCGACAAATGTCATATTAAATTAAAACTATTTTTTTAACATATTTAACAAAAAAATTTTCTAACTAATTTTTTAACATATTTAAGTCAAGTTATACGTTTTTTTAAATGTTCACTATTAAAAACCAAAAAACATTTCATTCTTAAACAATCAAACATCGGAAATCAATCACCGGTAATTTTTTGGGTATTCATAGCACCGTTGCTCTAGAAGAGATGCCCACCGCCCTCTAGCGAGAGGAAAAAACCACTGAAGAACACTGATGATAATGACTACGACTTAGGTTGTACACCCTTGACATGAATTTTAAATTTTACTGTCTTTAAATTTAAATCATAATTGTCATTTTTTATTAATAAAGATATGAAGAAAAATTGGGTGCATTTTTTTATATCATTTTTTCGAAAACTTATCGATACATCTATGTGAACCGTATGAAACATACCCATCACTAGTCACATTCGTTTGACAGCCGTCATTCTAATCAAGCTATATTGGATAGACTATAGATGTAAGTTTTTTAAATAAAATTATAATCATCACTTTATTTTTTGGTTAGTTAAGGCTCTATGGATGTATATCTAATTATGTATTTCTACATTGTGTTCGTATTTGTGTACCTTCAAAGTCATGCTCTATGGACTTCAATTTATAAAATTAACGATTTTAAATATTATCAACACTTTTTATAAATTGAAATTTATTAATTATTGTATTTTTTTTTCAACGCTTAGATTTATATAAGCCATACTTAAATAATATGATATTTTTTAGATGCAACTTTTATTTTAAAATTTAGGTAACGCAGTTAGAATTTTCTATTATTTTCCATACAAATTCCATTAAAAAAAGTAATAAAAAATACACTCGACGTGAAATAAATCGCACCTCCTGCGACAATAAATTTAAAGATTTTTTCTGACACAATCATGGTGCCCCAACAATATTGGTGTTATTTGAAAGTCCAATAAATAAACTTGAAGAAAAATACATTTAACTTGTTTTATAAACAATTAACAAGTAGGTACGTACCATAAATGTGGCTTAAAAAAGACCTCACTTGGGGCTCGCCTCTCGAATAAATTAGACCAATGGTTATAAAACCAAATAATGATCTCACGTGTCTTCTTTAACAGGTGGATAGCAATAATATTAGCAATGAATCCCAATTTAACAGTTTTGTAGCCATAAAAGTTGGCTCAAGCGTAACCACCTGTCGTTTTAAGAAGAGATTCTGGATCCTTCTAAAGACACATTTTTGGGGTAAAAAACCTTTCCTACAATGAAATGAAGTTTAGAACTAGGCTTTCAAATGGTACCAATATTGGTGGGAAGTGGGAATTGAAAGTCGCGGGAGGTGCGATTTATTTGATGCCGAGTGTATTTGACATGGACCAAATAGACTTTATTTTAGCCATATGAGTACTGCAACCTGTATTTTTGCTATGTGCTTATTTTTTTAAATGTAACCTTTTATTAATAAAAAAAAATAAAGTGGTGGTGGTATTTTTTGAATAAATTTTCATATTTTCGTAAAAGGTTTTTCATTTACTCACAACAGTCACAACACAATAGTTAATTTACTTATTAATTTTAGTTATTAAAAAGCGTCAAAGATTCATTAATGTAGAATGCAGGACGTAGGGTTGATTTTGACGCAGGTCAGGAAAATCAAAAAGTACGGTTAGGCGCATATTATAGGGTTACTTACTAGGTTCAAAAACACACTCTAAAAGCCGGACATTCATAGTACACTAGTATTATATTATCTGTGGTAGTAGGTACACAATATTAGTTAGATATTCAGTCTTGAATTCCCGGATAAAAGGAAAGTAGCAAATTTTTTGTGGTCTGGCCCTACCCGCAGCTGCCACATAAAAGCCACATAAAATCCGGACAGGCCGGATGAGAGAATATTTGGCCGGACACGACCATAAAAAGCTGGACACCTTGCAACCCTGGGCGCATTGTCAACGAAGGTTTTCAGAATAATGGAAAGTTTGGAATTCCTGGGAAACAGGTAAGGCCGACCAAAGAAAGAAATGGATGATTTAATATTTGTGCTCTGCGCCAGAAAATATGTACAATTTTACCCAGTATAAAAGAGGTAGGTACACAACATTTTTCGTCTTTTGCATGGTTTTTGTGTGTAGGTAAGTATGCCTAAAATTGTAGGTAGGTATAGTCAGATGTACTATCAACGGAACGCACCATCCCTCAGAAAATTTCAGGTGATCACCAGAACTGAGCTGGATTTTGATTCTAAGTACCCAGTTTGAAGTTTTTCGTAAAATTTAAAAATACAATAGGGTTTACCTACAAGAAATGCCAAAATAATAGAAGTGCTCTAATCGAATTGCATATTGCTGCCTTAGATTTATTAATCTAAGATTGCTGCTAAACAAAAAGATAGGTACTTGGCGATCATAAAAAATCGAATTTGCCTGAAGAACTAAGAAAAGACATTATTTATCTCGATGAAAGCTATATTCATTCTTCATTAAGGTAACCTGTATAATATAGCTTATGTTAAGCAGTCTTTTTTTATTGTAATAATGAACGAATTTTTCAAATCGGTCCAGTAGTTTCAAAGCCCCTTCCCCCCCTTTTACCCTCTCCAAAAAAACCAGAAATCAAATCTTTCTTCTTAATAATCTGTTTCTATGTATAAACGCAAAAGGTCACTGACTGACTCACTCATCACGAAATCTCAGAAACTACAAGTGCTAGGAGTCTCAAATTTTGCATGGGGGTTCCTTATAGAACGTAGGTGCTCACTAAGACTGGATTTTGCAAAATTCAACCCCGAAGGGGGTAAAACGGGATCCACGCGTACTTACGAAGTCGCGGGCGGCCGCTAGTAGATGTTAATTTTATATAATTTTCACTAACAAGAATCTGTTTAGTGAATTTTTTTCCCACCAGGTCACAAAACATCAAAGGTGTCATAAAAGACATTTCCAAAGGACAGCGTCACATCATAGTCCATGCTGAAGCGAAAAGGCGTTTGTGCCAAACTGCCTCCTCATATTCACTGGCAGAAATAATCTGGAATATCATTCAGAAATGAACGCGCATAGCTTCACGAAGTGTATTAAAGAAAAACTAATACCAAATCTTCACGAGCTTTCCATCATAGAAAAGGTTATAATGAGCCAACCTTAAAAGAACAAAATGAGCCAACCTTAAAAGATGGATATATTTTATGCTATTGCAGACTTTTTTAGAACTTTTAAAGTGGAACAATCCTGTCATTCATGACTTTTGCGAAACTTTAACCAATTACGCAGCGGCAGCTCTCAAAAGGAAAAAAAACGATTTTGAAACATTCTTCATTAGTGCTCCGCTCCTATTGGTCTTAGCGTGATGATATACAAGTATAGCCTAAAGCCTTCCGGGATAAACGGGTTATCCAACACAAAAATAACATTTCAAATCGGACCAGTAGTTCCTATTAGCGCGTTCAACCAACCAAACAAACACACTCTTCAGCTTTATAATATTAGTGTGAACCTCTAGTGCCAACAGTTTCCAAGCAAAACCTCGGACGGACAGACAGACACACAGAGGGACATAACGAAACTATAAGGACTTCTTTGTCAGGACTACGGAACCCTAAAAAGCGCCTTCATTTTATGTCATGACTTTAAACAAACTACATCCACGAAGTACCAAGAAGAAACATAAACTGTGTTTCAAGTGCATCGTGAAGAAACACAATCGCCTGTTGTACCGAGCGAAAAAGCGGCAAGTACGATTATAATCACCGTCAGTTGCTACACGTGATGAAAAACCGACAACTTACGAACTCAACAAGTCGCGGGCTAGTGGCCTAATTCACGTATTTTGACACAGTCAAAATCTCGCTGACGTTCAGAAGTCGTCCCATTGAAAAACAGCGTAATCACATCACAAGGGTCATTTCGATAGAACGATTACTTACTCGATAGGATCGCAACTCAGCGATTTGTTGTCGTTGAAGTTTTGTTACGTGAATAAGGCTACAAATTTACTCAACCCGCTGCACTGCTCAAGTTTCGATCGAAGCCATAGCAGTGACTGCAGATATAGAGGATATGTTCCTATGTGTTAAGATCACTGAGAAAGATCAGAGAGCACAACTATTCTTTTGGAGAGAGACAGAGAACGACAACCTTTTTTATGCTCCTGTACCTATACATATGTAATTTACACCATTATAAATTGTCACTTACACGGGACTATTCCCACCTCTCGTTCCCACCACTGCAACTCCTGTATAGCCAGGATCTACAGCTTGACCGCCACAAAAACCCAACCAATGAAGGTCAAGTTTGTCCCGGGGGAAAGTTAAACTGTCATTGGACCCGCAACGAAATTAATCAGAAGAACATAGGAGGAGTTCGAAATTGTCACTTAGTAAGCAACAAATACTTTGAATTTGAAACGACACCTTTGTGATGGACTCAATTATATTCGGTGCCACATCTTCGCCTTCGCAATCTTCCAGCTAGAGTGGATTCCTCTCAATACAGGTTACTTAAACTTAAAGAGAGGAATTCCCCAACAGCTTGTAACATTCGTACTAACTGTCAATAAAATATTTTTCATTTATTATCTTCGTGCTGAACAAGAACGCCGGCATGTTCAAAGGTACCCGGAAGCAGTTGAAACCATACAGAAACATCATTACATGGATAATTATATCGACAGCACGGACGAC